ATTTTCCCCGAGTTTTCCCGCCCGGATTTTCCCGGGAATTTCCCCCCCCCCCAAATTCCCCCAAAAATTCCAAGAGAATTCCAAGAAATTCCAAAAAAAATAAAAATAAAAATCCCTAAAAAAATTCCAAGAGAATTCCAAAAAAAATTCCCAAAAAAATTCCCAAAAAATCCCAAAAAAATCCAAAAAAATCCAAAAAAATCCCAAAAAAATTCCCCAAAAAATTCCCAAAAAATCCCAAAAAAATCCAAAAAAATTCCCCAAAAAATTCCCAAAAAATCCAAAAAAAATCCAAAAAAATCCCAAAAAAATCCCAAAAAAATCCAAAAAAATGCCAAAAAAAATCCCAAAGAAATTCCCCAAAAAATCCCAAAAAAATCCAAAAAAATCCAAAAAAATCCAAAAAAATCCCCAAAAAATTCCCAAAAAATCCCAAAAAATTCCCCAAAAAATTCCCAAAAAATCCCAAAAAAATCCAAAAAAATCCCCCAAAAAATCCCAAAAAATCCCAAAAAATTCCCAAAAAAATTCCCAAAAAAATCCCCAAAAAATCCAAAAAAAATCCCAAAAAATTCCCCAAAAAATTCCAAGAATTTTTTTTTTCCCAGCTTTTCACGGAGCTGCTGCTCCAGGAGGGCCCCGACGTGCGGGGGCTCCCGGAATTCCGGGAAATTCGGGATCTGGGCCGGAGATTTTCCCTCTTCTTCAGCCTCCGGCACCTCCGGCACCGGCGGGCGCTGCTGCGGCTGCACAGGTGTGGGGAAAGCACGGAATTCCGGGGAAATCCGGGAAAAATCCGGGAATTCTGGGGGAAATCTGGGAATTCTGGGGGAAATCTGGGAAAAATCCCGAAATTCTGGGGGAAATTTGGGAATTCCGGGGGAAATCTGGGATTAATCAGGGAATTCCCAGGGGAAAAACAGGGAATTTCAGGGGAAATCTGGGAATTCCGGGGGAAAAATTGGGAAAAATCCAGGAAAAATCTGGGAGTTCTGGGAAAAAAATGTGAATTCTGGGAAAAATCCTTTGGGGAATTTTGGGTATTTGGGGCTGGAATTTTGGGAATTTTGGGAATTCTGGGGCTGGATTTTTGTGGAATTTTGGGGAATTTCGGGGCTGGAATTTTGGGGAGTTTTGGGGATGAATTTTTTGGGAATTTCTGGGAATTCCGGGGCTGGATTTTTGTGGAATTTTTGGGAATTTTGGGGCTGGAATTTCGGGGAATTTTGGGAATTCTGGGGCTGGGTTTGGGATGGGATTTTGGGAATTTGGGGCTGGAATTTTGGGAATTTTGGGAATTTTGGGGCTGGAATTTTGTGGAATTTTGGGGCTGGATCTGGGACGGGATTTTGGGAATTTTGGGGATGAATTTTTGGGAAATTTCCGGGAATTCTTTCAGGAATTTTCCTCTCCTCCCCCCCTTTCCTGATCCCGACTTTTCCCGGGAATTCCCGGGGGTTTCTCCCCTCCCCCACAGCGAGGGGATCCAGTTCGCGCTGCAGCCGGGAACGCCGGGAACGCCGGGAATTCCGGGAATTCCGGCGGGAAATCCGGGAATTCCGGCGGGAAACGCGGGAATTCCGGCGGGAAATCCGGGAATTCCGGCGGGAAATCTGGGAATTCCGGCGGGAAATCCGGGAATTCCGGCGGGAAACTCAGGAATCCTGGCGGGAAATCTGGGAATTCCGGCGGGAAACTCGGGAATCCCGGGAATCCCGGGAATTCCAGGGGGTTTCCCGCTGACCCTGCCCTTCCTGGAGGTGCTGAGCGAGTTCTCGCCGCGGCTGCCGGGGCAGGACCGGGCGCCCCTGTGAGCACGGAACGTTCCGGAAAAAACAAACCGGGAATGACGGGGGGGGATGGGAAAACCGGGAATTCTGGGAAAAAACGGGAATGACGGGGGGGGAAAATCTGGGAATGACGGGGGGAGGAAATCCGGGAGAATTTGGAGGGGGAATTTTGGGTGATTTTGGGTGATTTTGGGGCAATTTTGTGTTAATTTTGGGGTAATTTGGGTGATTTTGGGTGAATTTTGGGTGAATTTTGGGTGATTTTGGGGTAATTTTGGGCCGTTCTGGGTGTTTCTGGGTTAATTTTGGGTGAATTTTGGGGTAATTTTGGGTGATTTTGGGTGAATTTTATTGATTTTGGGGTAATTTTGGGCCGTTCTGGGCCAGGTTGGGTTAATTTTGGTCCGTTTTGGGTGAATTTTGGGTGATTTTGGGCTGATTTTGGGGTAATTTTGGGGTAATTCCGGGTCAGGCTGGGTGAATTTTGGGTGAATTTTGGGCTGTTTTGGGTGATTTTGGGGTAATTTTGGTCGGTTTTGGGTGATTTTTGGGTAATTTTATTGATTTTGGGTGAATTTTGGGTGATTTTGGGCTGATTTTGGGGTAATTCTGGGTGATTTTGGGCTGATTTTGGGGTAATTTTGGGGTAATTCCGGGCCAGGCTGGGTTAATTTTGGGTGGATTTTGGGTGATTTTGGGGTAATTTTATTGATTTTGGGTGAATTCTGGGTGAATTTTGTTGATTTTGGGGTAATTTTGGGCCAGGCTGGGTGAATTTTGGGTGATTTTGGGTTAATTTTGGGTGAATTTTGTTGATTTTGGGGTAATTTTGGGCCAGGCTGGGTTAATTTTGGTCCGTTTTGGGTGATTTTGGGTGAATTTTGTTAATTTTGGGTGAATTTTGTTAATTTTGGGTGGATTTTGGGTGATTTTGGGCTGATTTTGGGGTAATTTTGGGGTAATTCCGGGCCAGGCTGGGTTAATTTTGGGCGATTTTGGGTTAATTCTGGGTGAATTTTGCTGGTTTTGGGGTAATTTTGGGGTAATTCTGGGTGAATTTTGTTGATTTTGGGGTAATTCTGGGCCAGGCTGGGTTAATTTTGGGTGAATTTTGTTAATTTTGGGTGGATTTTGGGTGATTTTGGGTGATTTTGGGGTAATTTTGGGGTAATTTTGGGCCAGGCTGGCGCTGCTGGAGCGAAGGTGCCGCGAGCGGGGGCTGGGCCCCGATTTTGGGGGGAATTGCGGGGATTTGGGGGCTCCCCTGCTCTGCTACCGCCGCTCCCTGAGCGCCCCCCAGGCGGCCCCGAGCGCCGGTGAGAGCCCAGAAATGGGGAGAAAAATCGGGAATTGGGGAAAATCCCGGGAATGGCGGCGGGGGAGGGGAAAGGCCAAATTCCCACGGGGGAAAAATGGGAATTTGGGGGAAAAAACCGGGAATTTTGGGATAAAAATCTCGATTTTAGGGGGAAAAAATGCGAATTTTGGGGGGAAAAATGGGAATTTTGGGGGGAAAAACGGGAATTTTGGGGCAAAAAGTTGGAATTTTGGGGGAAAAATGGGAATTTTGGGGGAAAAAATCTCGATTTTAGGGGGAAAAAATGCGAATTTTAGGGGGAAAAAATGCGAATTTTGGGGGGAAAAATGTGAATTTTGGGGCAAAAAGTTGGAATTTTGGGGAAAAATCTCCATTTTAAGGGCAAATAATGTGAATTTTGGGGGGAAAAATTGGAATTTTGGGATAAAAATCTCAATTTTAGGGAGAAAAAGTGTGGATTTTGGGGGGGGAAAAAGGATATTTTGGGGAAAAATGGGAATTTTGGGGAAAAAATGGGAATTTTGGGGGAAAAAACGGGAATTTTGGGGAAAAATCTCGATTTTAAGGGCAAATAATGTGAATTTTGGGGGAAAAAATGTGACTTTTGGGGAAAAAACTGTAATTTTGGGATAGAAATCTCAATTTTAGGGAGAAACAAAGTTGGTTTTTGGGGGAAAAATTGGAATTTTGGGGGAAAAATCTCAATTTTAGGGGGAAAAAGATGTGAATTTTGGAGAAAAACCTCAATTTTAGGTGGAAATTATGTGAATTTTGGGGGGAAAATGTGAATTTTGGGGAGAAAAATTTGAATTTTCAGGGGGAAAATTGGAATTTTGGGGGAAAAAATTGGAATTTTGGGGTGAAAATGGGAGTTTTGGGGAGGGAAATCTGATTTGGGTCAAAACCCTCAAGTTTTGTGCTTAAATCCCTGAATTTCGTCTTAAAACCTCGACTTTTACCTTAAAACCCCAAATTTTGTGCTAAAAACCTCTGTTTTTACCCAAAAACCTCAATTTTTTCCCAAAAAACCTTGATTTTTGTGCTAAAAACTCTGAATTTTGTGCTAAAAATTCTAATTTTTGGGTTCAAAACCCCCAATTTTTTTCCCAAAACCCCCAAATTTTATCTTAAAACCCAAATTTTGTGCAAAAAACCTCAATCCTTTCCCAAAAAACCTCAATTTTTACCAAAAAATCTCAATTTTTTCCCCCAAAACCCCGATTTTTGTGCTAAAAAATTCAAATTTTTGTGCTAAAACCCCCAACTTTTACCCCAAAAACTCAATTTTTTCCCCAAAAACCCAATTTTTGTGCTAAAAAATTCAATTTTTGTGCTAAAAACCCCCGATTTTTTGCCGAAAATCCCCAATTTTGTGCCCCAAACCCCCGTTTTTTTTCCCCAAACGCCCGGATTTTGGCTGCCCCTCCCCCCAGGCTCCAGCCCGTGGCCCCCCAGCCCCAATTTGACCTCGACCCAGCTCAGGGGGGGCCCCCGGAGCCGCCCCCCGAAACCCGGCCCTGAGCCGGCCCAAACTGGGAGCGACTGGGAGCAACTGGGATGGACTGGGAACCCAAACTGGGATGGACTGGGACGGCTGGGAACCCAAACTGGGATGGACTGGGAACCCAAACTGGGAGAGACTGGGAACCCAAACTGGGAGAGACTGGGAACCCAAACTGGGAGAGACTGGGACGAACCGGGAACCCAAACTGGGAGTGACTGGGACAGCTGGGAACCCAAACTGGGAGCGACTGGGAGCAACTGGGAACCCAAACTGGGAGCGACTGGGAGTGACTGGGATGGACTGGGAGTGGCTGGGAACCCAAACTGGGATGGACTGGGAGCCCAAACTGGGAGCAACTGGGAACCCAAACTGGGAGCGACTGGGAGCGACTGGGACAGACTGGGAACCCAAACTGGGAGCGACTGGGAACCCAAACTGGGACGAACTGGGATGGACTGGGACAGCTGGGATGGACTGGGACGGACTGGGATGGACTGGGATGGACTGGGAATCCAAACTGGGACGGACTGGGAGCCACTGGGAGTGACTGGGATGGACTGGGACGGCTGGGAACCCAAACTGGGATGGACTGGGATCAACTGGGATGGACTGGGAACCCAAACTGGGATGGACTGGGACAGCTGGGAACCCAAACTGGGATGGACTGGGAGCAACTGGGATGGACTGGGAACCCAAACTGGGATGGACTGGGAGCAACTGGGACGGCTGGGAACCCAAACTGGGATGGACTGGGAACCCAAACTGGGATGGACTGGGAGCCCAAACTGGGATGGACTGGGAGCAACTGGGACGGCTGGGAACCCAAACTGGGATGGACTGGGAACCCAAACTGGGAGAGACTGGGATGGACTGGGAACCCAAACTGGGATGGACTGGGAACCCAAACTGGGATGGACTGGGAGCAACTGGGACGGCTGGGAACCCAAACTGGGATGGACTGGGAGCGACTGGGAACCCAAACTGGGATGGACTGGGAGCGACTGGGAACCCAAACTGGGATGGACTGGGATGGACTGGGGGCAACTGGGAACCCAAACTGGGAGCGACTGGGACGGCTGGGACGACTGGGAACCCAAACTGGGACGAACTGGGATGGACTGGGACAGCTGGGATGGACTGGGACGGACTGGGATGGACTGGGACAGCTGGGAACCCAAACTGGGACGGACTGGGAGCAACTGGGACAGCTGGGACGGCTGGGAACCCAAACTGGGAGAGACTGGGAACCCAAACTGGGATGGACTGGGAGCAACTGGGAGCCCAAACTGGGAACCCAAACTGGGATGGACTGGGACGGCTGGGAGCGACTGGGAGCAACTGGGAACCCAAACTGGGATGGACTGGGAGCGACTGGGAACCCAAACTGGGATGGACTGGGAGCAACTGGGAACCCAAACTGGGAGCGACTGGGACGGCTGGGACGGCTGGGAACCCAAACTGGGACGGCTGGGAGCGACTGGGAACCCAAACTGGGAGCGACTGGGACGGCTGGGAACCCAAACTGGGATGGACTGGGAACCCAAACTGGGAGCGACTGGGAGTGACTGGGATGGACTGGGAGCGGCTGGGAACCCAAACTGTGATGGACTGGGAGCCCAAACTGGGAGCAACTGGGACGGCTGGGAGCCCAAACTGGGAGCGACTGGGAGCAATTGGGAACCCAAACTGGGAGCGACTGGGAACGACTGGGATGGACTGGGAGCGACTGGGAGCGACTGGGACAGCTGGGAACCCAAACTGGGAGCGACTGGGAACCCAAACTGGGACGAACTGGGATGGACTGGGACAGCTGGGATGGACTGGGACGGACTGGGATGGACTGGGACCAAACTGGGACGGACTGGGAGCCACTGGGAGTGACTGGGATGGACTGGGACTGCTGGGAATCCAAACTGGGATGGACTGGGACGGACTGGGATGGACTGGGATGGACTGGGACAGCTGGGATGGACTGGGATGGACTGGGACGGACTGGGAATCCAAACTGGGATGGACTGGGAGCAACTGGGAGCGACTGGGACAGCTGGGAGCCTGAACTGGGACAGACTGGGATTGGAACCTGAACTGGGAACCCAAACTGGGACAGACTGGGACAGACTGGGAGCCCAAACTGGGACAGACTGGGACAGACTGGGAGCCCAAACTGGGACAGACTGGGACAGACTGGGATTGGAGCCCAAACTGGGAGCCCAAACTGGGATTGGAACCTGAACTGGGGGCCCAAACTGGGACAAACTGGGACAGACTGGGATTGGAGCCCAAACTGGGAACCCAAACTGGGATTGGAGCCCGAACTGGGATTGGAGCGTGAACTGGGAACCCAAACTGGGACAGACTGGGAGCCCGAACTGGGACAGACTGGGATGGACTGGGAACCCAAACTGGGACAGACTGGGAGCCTGAACTGGGACAGACTGGGATTGGAGCCCAAACTGGGATTGGAGCGTGAACTGGGAACCCAAACTGGGACAGACTGGGAGCCCGA